TTCGTTTATTATCAATTTGTTTTGATATCCTCGGGTATTCGGGCGTGGGCCTGGCCAATCCGCATTCGGAAATTCGGGGGTATCACATTATATGAAACAGAAAAGTTGGATAAGTGGGTATATGGGGTTGCTCTGTTTTTTCTTGAAACATAGAGAGAGAGGGATTTATATGAAACAGAAGAGTAGGACAAGTGAGTATGTGTGATTTGTTTCAGAATTTTTTGCATTGATTTATGCAAGTATTTTCCCTTTTGATTTTTTGATCTTAAAATTTGGAAAAAAGGATGTGCTGGGACACTTTCTGTTATGATGTTATTATATATGCTATTACTTCTCTTATTTTTAATATCTTCCAATAATTAATTGCAGAATGGTGTGCAAAAAGACGAAGCACTGTTTATATATTGTCCTTTATGGTCTTTTTACAAAAAATTATATTTTTCTATATTTTATAAAATTGTTGACTGGGGGTATTTTAGTCAATTTTGGTTTTAAATGTGCCAGAGGGACTTGATTGCACAAAATTGAAACTTGATGGGTGTTTTTTGCACGGGAGGGGTATGATATGTACCGTAAGCATACTTGAGGGGTGTTTTTTGCACTTGACCCAAATTAGTATAGTCCATTACTCATTGAGATCACTATTAAAATAAATAATTGTGCTTATGGCATAAATATTATTTACACAAAATGATTGTTCTCAAATGACAATAAAGAACCCTTGATATATGCACAAAATGATTGTTGTTTAATTAACAATATGTTTTTGTGTTTTTATAATAGAAAACTCTTTACATTTTTGTGAAAAAAGGGAAACAAAAATGTTCTTTTTTTCACAAAAATGTTCTGGCTTTACTAAATGGTTACCATAAATCATCCCATCCACCTTGTTTTGCATTCAAAATTGACCTTAGAAAAGCCTTTGACACTATCCATTGGCAATTCATCCTAGATGTACTTCTCTTGTTTGGATTTCCAAACCAATTCATACATTGGATAGCATAATGTATAACCACCCTATCCTATTCCATCTCACTCAATGGTCAACTCGATGGATTCTTCAAAGGCAAGAGGGGGGTAAGGCAGGGAGACCCCATCTTTCCCCGACTGTTCGTTTGTACTTGCTATAGAAGTCCTAACCTTATACCTCAACAAAGCTATCTCTCAAAGCACAAGTTTTAGATACCACTAGAGATGTAGCAAGCTATCTATTTCTCATTTAGCATTTGCAGATGATATCATGTTATTTGTTATTTTCTCATGGTGACCTAGCTTCTGTTGAAGTCTTGAATGCAGCATTAAACAGATTCCTTACAGCTTCTGGACTCTCCATCAATTTCTCTCTGGCCAAAAGCCAAGTCTTCTTTGCAGGTGTAGATAAAAACATAAGAACCAGCATTACTTCTCTACTACAGTTTGATATGGGTGTACTACCAATTACATACCTTGGATTACCATTGTCTTCTGCAGCCATCAATGCCATTGACTGTCAAACATTGGTCCATAAAATAACACCTAGAGTTAACATGTGGACTTTAAGATTTCTCTCCTATGCATGCAGAGAGCTGTGCTGATCAAGTTTGTTCTCTTCTCAATTCAGGTATTCTGGACACAATCATTTATCCTCCCTATGAGTGTAATTGACCAATCAACCAAATATTGAGAAGCTTCTATTGGTTTGGGACTAATCTCAAGAATACAGGTGCTAAAGTGGCCTGGACAGTAATATGTAAACCAAGAAGCTGTGGAGTTCTTGGATTTCCCAGCCTTGAGTTCACTAATAGGGTGTCAAGCCTAAAGCATCTATGGAGGTTATGCTCCAGAAAGGACAACCTTTGGGTGGTATGGACATACAGGTACCTTATAAAGGCTAAAAGCATTTGGACTGTCAAAGCCTCATCTTTAAGTTCAGGATTTTGGAGAAGACTACTCAAGTTGAGGGGTATGGCTAGGGGTGTTAGGCATAGATTGGGGGCTGGAGATTGCACAAGTATGTGGTTGGATTACTGGTTACCAAATGGTCCCATCTCTCAGTAGTTTGGACTCTTTGATGTGGAAATTCTTCATCTGGACACTCAAGTCAAAGTTGATAGCCAAATTTCCAACAATCAGTGGGTAATACCAAGCTCACTACAGCACATTCCTTTTTTCCAAAGTCAATACTTCATTTCACAGTTGCAGAATACTCCTCCCCCTTCCATGGCTAAGAACCAAGATGATCAAGTTGAATAGCTTCCAAGTTCACCTAATGACGACTCCCATAGGCTTTCATTAGATACTTCACTCCCCCCTCTCTAGTCTTTGCTTGGGACCATCTCATATGGTTCAAATACCACATCCCAAAACATGGATACATGGTTTGGCTAGCACTCAAAGAGAGACTATCTACTTTGGACTCCAAGCCAATGCTAAAGAAGCATTACACCAATGCTTACTACCTATGCCTTGCAGATAGGGATGGCAATGAGGGCGGGTTTGGACGGGTGCACCCTCCCCTGCACCCGCAACCGTTAAAAAACCCCACCCCCATCCCCGCCCAAAATCGCAAAAACGGGGGGACTTTCCACCCCATCCCCGCCCCCGTTTAAAATCTTTACCTCCGCGGGTACCCGCCCCATCCCGTTTAAGACCAAAAATTCTCCTCCATTTAATTTTTTTTATTAACTAATTAAAATTATATAATTATTGAAAAAATTCATAAAAATAATGGACAATAAAAAGTTTAACATAAAATTCAACATTAAAAACATTTTAAATGGTTGCGCAAGCTACTTGTTCCAGATTTTTAGATTTTGTTGCAAAACAAACTGCCTCAATATATATACTAATGAAATATATATACTAATGAAGTAAGGGTACTTAAGTAATATACCTATCTAAACGGGGCAGGGCGACCTCTCCTCGTCTCCGCACCGAACACGCGCGGATTTTCATTATATCAAACCATTCCTACCCAAATAAGCTAAACGGTCCCCCAAAACCGCCAAAAACGGGGTGGGGTGGGGTGGGGTGGGGTGGGGCAAATTGCCATCCCTACTTACAGATGAGGAATCAGTGGACCACCTATTCTTCAAATGTCATTACAGTACCATCATTTAGGATTTCATCCAACATGCAACTGGTTTTTACATTAAACCTAATAGTTGGAGTGATTGATTATTTGGTGCTCAACAACATGGACTCAGGATCACTTCATCACTCACAAGCTTTTGCTATCAAGTGGCATTTACTTCATTTGGCAGGAGAGAAATGCAAGAGCATTTAGGAACAGGTCAAATGCGACCAACCAAATCATCCACCTCATCAAAGGTTGCATCAGAGCAAGATTTGCTTCTCTCAAGTTAAAGAATGGTGCTGAGATAAGGAAGATTCGATCCCTTGATGCAATGCAACAGGTCTTCATCTAGGGCTGCTCATATGCCAGAGGAAATTCATGGTTCCTGTTATGATTTGTTTGATCACTGGCTCAATGCTGCTTGATACCACTTATGATGCCTTTTGTTCAATTTTGGTTGTTGCCTCTGCTAGATTCTGGCTAGTGCATACTTGGACTACAATATATTAAGCTTGTTGTATGTCCTAGACAGAGCTGGTCTGATATGGTTCCATTTGCTGACAAGGGGAATGTCCCTTCGGCTGGTATAAGTTGTTGAACCATCTTTGTACATATCTTTTTTATTTATAAAACTTATCCATTTAACCAAAAAAAAAAAAAAAAAAAATGTTCCAGCTACTGTTACTACGCACGGATACTATTCATTTCAAACAAAATTCATCTTATATGCTAATGCCACATATTAAATAGTAATAAAAATATATATTTTTAATATTAATATATTATAAAGAGTGTAAAATATATACTTTTATTTAATAAAAATATTATATAATAGTGAAAATTATGGTTTGAGACAAAAATATGTATAATTTTATTTATTTTATATAATATTAATAAATTATTATGCAATTGAGATTACATTATATGTAAATATTATATTACAATTAATTTATAATGTTCTAATACATTATGTATTCTACTACATATAAGATATACTATTTAACATTTTTGAGTTACAATATATATTTAAGTATATTATAAATCACATAACTTATATACGTACAATTGGTAAGAACATTTGTGTCTTAGTATATCTTACTTGGTACATATTATTTAGTAATATTAGGATTATGACTTGCTCAAAAAAAAAAAAAAATTTAGGATTGTGATTTTAAATTGAATATTATATTTTATTATCATGTATTGATTTTTGTTAATATTTGCGAAACTAAAAATAAAACAAATATATATACTGTATACATTTTGTAATAAATATATTACTAAATACTGTTATTATTTTATGCTTTCAAAATTGTGGCAACAACATATATTAATAGACGTTATTTTTACTTCTATTTCGAGAATTTTACTAAACATGCATATTGTTGAGTGATATCTTGTCATTAAAATGATATGATATTTGTAATAGACTTTTACCCGGTGGAGTAAAATGACATGCAGATGGTGGTTCTTAAACTCCTTTGGACTCGCATTTGACTGACTTCCCTTCACTTCATGTGGGCGGAGGCTCTAAAACTCAATTCGTGCTAGCACAAGGCTCATTCCCATGGTCATGCGGACGGAGTCCTTAAACTCATTTCGGGTCGGGTTCGATTCAACCTCTTTCATCCCCTTGAAAGTCCATCTCGCGTCATGATGGTCTTTTATCCTTTGAAAGCCCAACTCTTACTGTGATGGTCTTTAATCCTTTAAAAGCCCATCTCTCATATAGGGATACAAGAGAGGATAACTTTTTTTGGGCTTTTCAAGGGAGGTTTGGGCTATATCTTCAGAACCCAAGCCCACACAAAAAATTTACCAACCCCAAAAATAACACAGCCCACGAAACTCCTTTTCTATGCTACCAGGCCCAGCAAGAGGTCAATTGCCGAACCCTAATGACCGCAGACGTGGACCTCTTTGACCGCCATCACACTAAGGAGAACGTACTCCGCAGAAGCACCAAAATGCCTTAATATATAAACATTTTTGATTGTCGTCTCTCTCTATCTCCTCTCTACGAGATCCATAGGTCGACTTCAATCTCTGCAAAAAGGTAACTCGATCTGTAAACCTCTAATTATACCTTTTCTTTCGTGATTATGCTCGTTTCAGAAGATCGTATATGATTAAATGGCCATGTTATGTGTGGTTTGCCTTAGAAATCTATTATTGAAATTTTTTTATATAATTTTTGTGTTATTTAATTGATTTTTTCCTCATATATGTCTGCAATTGTTTCATCATCTACAATTTTCCTGAAGGTGCCATAATAGATGAATATACATCTGTATCATGTGTGTATATGTATGTCTACACACATCGTATCCACTTGTGAATTTTTGGGTTTTTTGGGTGAACTGCGGGATTTTTGTACCTTTAGGGTTTTGAATATCAAATGATTGAATAGGACACAACTTAATTTCGCCTGGTTTGAGAGTGAATTGTGAATCTAAGTAGTGATGTTATAAGCAAAATGCGTTCTTACATTATGTTGAGACCCAGATCAATCTACTGTGGTTTGGAAAATGGTTTTTGGGCCGAGGGGGCTAGCCGAGCACCTCAAGACCCTTTGATCCTGTGAGTGGGGCACATGCTTATGTCCCACACAAATAATCCAAGGGGCCTGAGGTGCTCGGCTAGCCCCCTCGTCCAAAATAGCACAATCCTTGTGTTTTTGGGTTTCTTTCTGTTTAGCTTTGAAATAATGTAACAAGGAAAATGCCTTTCGGTTGGAAAAGCAGTGGTGAGGCCCACAGCCCCTCTCTTTTGTTTGAATTTGGCTTTTCTCATGTAACAATGGCAGAACTTGGGCATGCGTGTGGGCAGAGAGGAGAGAGGAAGGGGGATGGGTGACCCCGTAGAGCTTGTTTAATTATTAAGACGTAGTAGTAATTCTTGATTACCACTTGATCACGTATGAAATATATATATATATTTTCCCTTTATTTACCTTGGCAAGAAATTCAAACATCCATTTGCCCCTATGGGAACTTAAATCCTCAATCTTTTACTTTGAAAGGTAAGGAAAAACTGCTAGACTGCAACCCTTAGTGGTGATAATGTAGGAATTAATCAATATATATTATGTCTTGTGGCTTAGAACCATTGTTTTATTATTATTAACAACATATAAAATATTAATGGCCTGGATTAGCCTTTTTCACTTTTCTCCAAGCAGTATAGTAGAATATCTTCCATCGTGATTGACCGAGGTTGTAATAGTAGTAATAGCGTTATTGAGGGGAGGTTCCAACATGGGTGCTTAAGTTATCTATTGTTAGTTTCTTAGCTTTTTCCAGATTAACCAATTGAGAAACCAGTTGATGGGTCCATTGTTTTTTTAGAAAGCTTGTAAATCTGTGTGGGGTATAGTGTATTTTGTGGATATGTTGAAAGTATAGCAGGCCTTGTTGGTCCTCTTGTAGTTTTTGGGATGAGCTCTCCTTTTAAGCACTTTTCAATGAAATATCATTTGTAAGAAAATTTATTGTTTCCTTTCTTTGGCAAATTTATGTTGAGAAAATGAATGAATTAGATAATACCTGAACTTTTTTACTCACAATTTTTAGTTTTTTCTTTATCAAGGAGAAGGACACTAGAAAGTCGTGATGGTTAGAGCATATGCACAAGAGCACATTTACAAGCACCCTTGGGAGCGAGTAACCTCTGCATCGTGGAGGAAATTTGCTGATCCTGAGAACAAGCGTACTTTATCCCACATCCTTGAAGTTGAAACTTTGAGCCGCAAGCTTGACCCTGAAGCTGGCAAGCTCTATACCACACGTGCCATTACTATTCATGCTCCAGGACCATGGTTCATTCGCAAAATTGTCGGTCAGGATATCTGCCATTGTGTTGAATCAACAGTTGTTGATGCCCATTCTCGATCGATGCAGCTCACCACCCGCAATATCAGTCTCCAAAAGTTTATAGAGGTGGAGGAGAGAATAAGGTATGAACCCCATCCTGATAATCCACAAGGGTGGACAATGTGCAAGCAGGAGACTAGCATACGTATAAAGCCGTTGTCAGCACTGGCGTCAATGGCAGAGAAGATCGAGCAACGATGTGTTGATAAGTTCCAGCAGAACAGTGTGAAAGGTAGAGAAGTTATGGAGAGGATGTGTAAGTATCTTGAAGCTGAATCATCTGGGATTTCACTCTGATTTTCAATCGCTTGCTTTGATTTTGCAGCATTTTAGGGAGAAAAAACATAAGAATTGAAGTGACTTTTTAACTTTCATCTTGGGCTTCTGGAATGCTAGTAATTAGGATTTTATGTTGCTTTTAGAGAAGAAATTAACATAACAATATAAGATTGTAGAACTGTGGAGGTTTGATCTGTTGAATCCCCCCTTTACACATTCAAATTTTAGTGTAATAAAGTGTTCTTTGGCACTTACATGCTCTGGTGCTTTGAAAAGTATTGTGGTGGTGTTATTCTTTTAACATCAAATAGGCCATAAGTCTTTTTTTTTACATGTCAATTAAAAGATTTGGTGTATACAACTTTGGATATCTTCCATTAGCGTAGCTGTGCTCGGAAGGGTGTAACATGCTCCTTCAGCATGTTTCTGAATGATCTGTTTAGTTGCATTATCCAAATTTTTTATTTTTTATTTTGGTTAGGACTAGGAACTAGCTACCCATTTGCATTACTAATTTGAATAAGATCCCATTAATGAATATATGTGAACTAAAACCTTGGGATTTTAACTGGAAATGTTTTATGATAGATGTGAACATTGTGGAGATGCACATAGAACGGAATGTTCTTTCTCGAGAAAGGTGGTTCTAAAAGCAATATGTGTGTGTGTGTGTATGTGTGTCACTCCAACAATTGGATGATTGCTTTCTTATTACCTGATTAGCAATCTTATAATGTAAAAGACATTTTAAGCATAGTCTCTGTTTGTTTATTGATCTTGTCATATCGCTTCGAAAGCGAATTGTTGGATGCAAAATGTACTCCGTGCTCGGGACCATGTTGCAAACTTACAATGCTGAGCAAGGCATCATGAAGGCAGTTTCTTTATATTCAGCCATGGGATTTCTGCAATGCTTGTTTTTAACAGTTTAGGTGTTTAGAATAGTTGACAATTAATATGCTATAAGTACTTTGTTGGTTTTTTTTTGTTTTTTTCAAAGGAAGTTTAATTATAAAGGATACCAAAATCGATGATTAGTTTTGAAGGGAGTTTTTTATTTTTAATTTCTTACAATTTTGCTTATGTTATTGTGGATTTAAAGTTTCATGGGGACAGCTCCTAGTCCATTGGTAATTATAAAAATTTTGGGTACTTGCTCTCAGGCTTTTGAATTGCCAGAATTAGACCAACCATGGGCTTAGTTTTGTTGATGAATATGGTTCTTTTTTTTTCCAACAATTTATGTTATATTTTGTGAATATATATAGACGTTACAACAATTGATTAGATATTTTACTTGATTCTAGCAAAGGATATTTTTCTATTTTCAGATAACAGAAGGTAGCAACATTTAGAGAACTAATAAGCTGATTTAACACTGAATCTGCCATTAAACCCCAAACTTTAGTGTCTTCACCTCCAAACTCCCTCAAAGGAATATGTAGAATAGAATTGGCTTCTCTAGAATTAAAAATGCTTCTGACCAAGTCTTCTTATTTTGAAGTATGAAATTGATGGTTGATGTTGAGTAGTTGAACGAGTTGAGTCCCACATCGATTAGTGAACAAGGAAATATGGGATTTATATTGGGTAAGAAATATGGGATTTATATTGGGTAAGTGTCATTCCATCTAATTGGTATTAGAGGTAGCTCCAAAGAATCGTACGTGGATTCAAGATTCCCTAGCTGGCGGGAAGATGGTAAGACCAGTGACGTTATATCCACCATGGTGAACCTCGACCACCAAACTTCTTTTGTCTACACATGAATCCTCAATTAATCCATTTCATTTTTGAGGATCTCTTTTTGTCATGAGATAACTAGTATAATATATTTGCCTATGGACTGATCTAAAAAGGACTTCCCTTCCCGCTTTGCTAATGAGCTTTCCCTTCAGAGACTTTGCCTTTGCTGCCACCCCCTCTGCTACAAATTTGAAGCATTAAATTTGTAATTTTAGCCATGTCTTAGCTTTAAGGCAAAGAAATTTAATTTATTTTTTTCTGGTCTTAATATAGTGTAAAATTTCATGTGCCGCCATTACAATATCGTGACTAACCATTGATGGAACAAAGACACTTTAATTTTCTCAAATCAACGTCTGTAACCATGGTTTCAATCTATTGGCTAAGGCTTTTGAATTTTTTATTTTTATTTTTTATAAGCCACATTGCATAAGGTAATGGGTCTGAATTGGGATGCAACCTAGTGAGGCCAAATAGTTCCACTGCATAGAGAGCTGTAAAAAGCCCACAATCCCAACCCTGAAATCAACTTTATAGGAAATTTTAAAATCATTAAAATCTAATTAGTGACTATCTATTTAGTAAAACAAAGCTAAACCACCATAAATATCTCTAGGATTCACATTAACAACATCATAACCTCCCAAAATTCTCTTTATTTTGTCAGCGTAACAATAATGACCTAAATCCGGGGGATCCGAATCGCTATAGAGTGGTGCAACACAAGCCGGGTCCTTACCCGAACCTGAGGGTAATCTAAGGGTGAAGTGGTCACTTTACACTATTACAATTAATTTACATCATCATAGGGGTATAACGATCATTTACTATGGTCCTATAGTGATTAGAGTGGAATCCTGGGTCAATTATGAGATTATAATTAAGTTTTAAGTCAAGGGTGCAAATGCTAGTCCATCTAATTGATCAGATCCAAGGAAGTGATCGATCAGATGACTAAAACACAGAGTTGGTAAAATGCCATGGGTCATCTAACCGATCAGATAGGGGTATCTGATCGATCAAATGTGCTCGATCAAATGGTGGTTTGCATCTAATATAATCGATCAGATGTGCTCGATCAAATGGTGGTTTGCATCTAATATAATCGATCAGATCAATCATCTAACCGATCAGATGGGATCTTGAACTAAACATAATCGATTAAATCCTTCATTCAACCCTGTCCCAAAACATTAGCAAAACCATAGGTTCATCAACACACCTTAATACACAAATTTAACTAAATAAGAGTCATTTCATTCATTAAGGTTCTTGAAATCGATCATTTATATCCTTTATACCAAGTATGAATAATTTCATCACATACATGTCCAAAAACAATACCAGTTCGTGTCTAAAAAGAATATAGTTACAAAAGTAAGACCACTAAGGTCATGTTACAATGCCTTACATCAAAATATCAAAATAAGGTTATCTGTCTAGCCAAACATCACGTCTATACTTGTGGAGGCGTGTCATCCGCCACTTCTTTCCTATGTCTTGAAAATGTAAAAATAAGGGGTAAGCACGACGACTTAGTAGGAAATGCCTAAAACACATACTTTGGCCTCTTGTGAGCCAAACACCCAAAGAAAGGGTAAGGTGAATTAGGGATCATGCTTAGGGAAAAACATAGAACATAGTCAACACATAACTTCTAAACAACAACTCATATTTGTCAATATGCTTAATGTCAATGCTAATGGATCGTGCAATGCCATGTAATCCCGACTTGAAACCAACTCACACCACACACATCAAAAATCGTTAATCAACTTTACTGAGGCGAAATTGACTAACTAGCCTCAAAACCAACGACCATTTGAGGCCTAGATTAGTTCAATTATACACATCCTAAATCAACAAGTGCTCCCTCTAGGTTGAATTAATTACCAGATTACGACTTCCGATCCTTCCTTTCCTAAAAGCTTTTCACAAAAACTTTTGAAATTCAATCAAACCTTGACCAACCAACACAACCCCTCTACCATGCCTAAGATAAGAATGACTCATACTTCATCATTAATTTTGTAATGACCCAAATCCGGGGGATCCGGATTGCTAACCGGGTCCTAACTCGACCCAGGGACACTAAGGGCAAAATGGTTATTATGAACCTTTCAATGCATTAGGAGTTAAAATGAAGTTGCTTTGGTCATTTCTAATCACATAGGACCATGAGAAGGTAAAAGATATGACCTCAGGTTCACGCTAGACTTCCTAAGGTTTCTAGGGGTAAAACGGTCGTTTTACATCAAAGAGGAATAATTTGACCCTAAGTAAGTCAAATGACGTGTATACAATCCATTTTAGTCGTTTCATGACATTTTAAGAGGTTTCAAGGGAGTTAGTCATGGTTTCCCACAAATACCCCTTCTCGGTTTAAAGGATTTTCCGACACTTCCTTACTAAAACAGCTATAAGTCTTAGTGTAATTGGAATCTAAGAATGGGGTTGGTACCTGTAATGTCCCAGAATTTTCTAGATTTTTATTTTAATTATTTTTTATGCCTCGTTTTGTGTGCCATGCGGTCATTTCTCGAGCCAAGAGTTTTAGAAATGTATTTTTTTTTTTTTATATATTTATTTTAAGCCAATTTGAGTGAAAGGATTATTTTTAGAATTTTTCGGTAGTCGGGATGATTTCCGAGCTTGGGAATTTCTCCCGGCTTTCTCATTTTAAGTGAGCGGCATTGTAGACATTTCACACGCATATACATACATACATATATATATATATATATATATATATATATATATATATATATATGTATGTATCTATGCATTAGAGGAGATATTTTGGAAATATAAATGGCATTGCAATGAATAAGAGAGGGCAAATGAGTATCTTTGTAAAAGTTAGTATTCACCCACATGTTGACACTTGGCAAGATGAGGACCACATCACATTTTTTGATTCGCAAGACCATCTCCTCTTCTTCTTAATATTGGCTAGTGCTCTCTCTCTTTACAACTACATACATACACACTTTAATCCAATTTTTGAGAGACTTAGAGTGTATGGGTGCAATTTTTTACACCCGAACACCTAGAGGGATCGACTATGGAAAACACACAGAAAAAATTAAGAAGGGAACAAGTAAATCTTTGAGATAGTGATTGTATTCAGAGTCCTATGCCTTTTACCTTTGTTCAGGTTCTATTTATAAGTGTGTTTTAGCTTAGGAATTTACATGAAGCCGTTTCTTGGATTTTATTCCCAAACGTGGGTAATTTATGCCTACAGGTCGTGCATTTGACTTTATTACGAGCGTTATGGAGTTTGGGCCTTATCAGAATTGGGCCTGTTTATTCTGCTTCTGTTTTAAGTAGGCCTTCCTTTGCTGGGCTTATGTTTTATTATGGGCTTTTAGCCTTTTTAAGGGCTGCCTTTTGTCGCCACGTGTTGTTTTGCGATTGGTGTGATTTTTTTCCCTCCACACTTTTACCCCAATTCCTTTTTATGCATTTGATTCATAAAAGGAATTGTAACCGTTTTCGGGAAGTG